ACCAGCATCATTTACATTCGTGCTAGCCTTAAGACACCGTCGAACACCTGAACAAGCACTGTTAGTCTGGAGCTGTCCTGTGTGGTTCCTGGCATATTCCCTGGACATGGCCGACAGGAGAAAAGAGGCACCCTGCTTTGAAGGGCATGCTGCTGGACTGGGTGGTGCAAATGCAGGACTTCTTCTTCCAGCAGGGCAAGCATTGGATGACACCACACCTGACCGCTTTTGCCTGATCAGAGGTTAAGGCAGTTTCAATCATCTGGAGGAATGCCCTCCAGAGAAGGTCAATGTCCTTGGCCACTCCAACTAAAGCCACCATCTTCTCCACAATCACTCTCTCTCTCTGTCTGCTAATGTACCATCTCCCAAGGCTCATGCTTTACCACTCATAATTGCTTGCAAACTTTTCCTTCACTTACCCTCATCCATCCCACCCCCTAACACCACTAACCCTGGTTGCTCTCTGCGTTGCCTATTCACTCACATGGGACACTTCACCACCTGCCTGAGCAGTAGGAACTGTGCCAGCCATTTTTGACATCTGCAATGCCTGCCTCTCTCTCATTCCAGGACAAAAACAGCCCACACAAGGCAAAAGCACTTAGGTCGCATGGTGGGGTGCCTGTCATTTGGCTCTTTACCCCTTATGAGGAGAAGATCCTTCCTCTGATGGGCCAACATTGGTATCTGAGGCTTTCTTTGGACTTACTGTGCAGGGATCCTTGAGCGAAGTCTATACCCTTTGAGTTGAAAGGGGCTTGCTAACGATCACAACAAGCTTCTTTACTTTGTGCCAGGCTTTGGCTCTACGCTAAACAGCATGGCAGCTAACAGTAATATTAGCCAGGTTCCCTGACTGAGGGGGCAAAGTACATAACGGTAAAGCAAGGCAGAGATGCTGTAAGCACCAGATGGGGTCAAAGTGAGTTAGCAGTGTAACAGTGAGCGAAGAGCCAGAGATGCAACCTGGTCCAGTACGTGAGCTGGGTGTGTCTTCTTGCAGCAGCATTACAATGATACTGCTGGTGCAGCATCAAGGCGCAGAAACATCCTGTAAGTGGATCAGAGTTGTGCCATGGAAGTTCTTAGAGGTTGGTACTTTTCAGATGCCAATGTCCTTGAACACAGTGCCCATGGAGGGTGCCCAGTTTCCAACATGGAGGTTGATTGGATCAAGCGACAAGATGAATCCATTAAGTGCCCACACTATAATTCTTGTCGAGTTTTACTGATGCCTTGCTCGTTTGGAGAGTTTGGTACGGTGGGAGGCTGAATATAACTAAGGTAAATTTTGCTGTTAACAAGGCATTAATCAAAACAGCAAAGACACCCCTTTTCTGCCAAGAATCACATTCCACTGCTTGTAAAAAGCATAAAAGACAGTGTGACTTTTTCATGATACCAAGATGGTCCCTCCCTCAATTGCTGCCTGATTCTGTTACATATTTTGTTACAGTCCAAGTTGCTCAGGCTCCTATAATGATTCTGCCTTTTGTATCTCATATACCATACTTAATTCCATTAACATAACAACTTGACTTGTACAGAAGGGGCTGCAAGAATGGCTGCACTGGAAAGAAATATTCATATATCACAGTAGATTACACTTGAATATTTTCTTACAACAGTTGAATATTATAGAACGTATTAAATATTTAGAGATCTGGTTCTGAGAATTACTTTTCTCTCCTCTGGATCAATGTCATGTCAGACAACTTACATATATAAATCAGGCTCACTACAGTTTGCACTATTTTTGAAGCATTTAAGAAACAGGAAAAATAAACAATGAAATTAGCACTGTTCAAAGTAACATGGATATGTTATTAAACATCGTACAATTAATACAGATTTTGTCATCAGTGGGCACAACCTTGGAACACAGCAGTTTTGAGGTTCTGTTGTCTAGTGGTATGTTTTGGAAAGCAGGAGTTTTGGGATCTGGAAGCTAAGGAAGGGAGCACCAGCATTACAGAGTGAGAAAGGTCTTGAGATCTGGAAGTACTGGGCAAGAAAGGTTTTGAGGGAAACATTTTAATTGTCAATTTGACATGTTGAATTGGCAGTTTACATTTTGGTTTTCATGCTTTGAATGATTGAAAACAGGTTAATATTCAATTTACACTCTAGCACACTGACCTTGAGTTACTAACAGAACACGAATTAATAGCATTAAGGGATACCATGTCCGAGCGTTCACACAAGATGTGCCATGTTCAAAAAATAGCTTGCATTTTCTTGGGCCAATGAATTAATTGACTTGTATAGTATTCAATAAACATCCATAAGACAAATCACTTGTATCCCTATCCTCTGATGAATTTCATTCTAGGGTCTCAGAAGAAGTTAGTTCATGAGATAGTTGATGTGTTGGTTTTAATTTGAAAAACTCATTAGATTTAGGAAAGGTTCCTTTAGATTGGAAAACAGCTAACGTAACTCTTATTCAGAAAGAGACTGGAGGCAGAAAGTAGGAATCCACAGGCCAGATACCTTAACATCTGTCGTAGGAAAATGCTAGAAGTTATTAGTAAATACATAACAACAGGGCATTCGGATAAGTTCAAGCTGATCAGGCAGAGCCAAAAGATTTTTATCAAAGGGGAATCATGCTTAACTAACCTACTGGAGTTCTTTGAGGAAGGAACTTGCGCTGTGGATAAAGGGGAAATCAGTGAATGTATTGCACTTAGATTTCAACAAGACATTTACTAAGGCGCACATCAAAGGCTATTGTGGAAAGTAAAGGCTCATGGTGCTGGTGTAACACATTGACATGGATGGAAGAGTGATTGGCTAACAGGAAGCAGAAAGGAATAAATGGGCTGAGATAGTAGGAACTGCAGATGCTGGAGAATCCGAGACAACAAGGTGCAGGGCTGGATGAACACAGCAGGCCAAGCAGCATCATAGGAGCAGAGAGGCTGACATTTCGGGCCTAGACCCTTCATCAGAAAAGGGGGAGGGGAAGGGGGTTCCGAAATAAATAGGGAGAGAGTGGGAGGCGGACGACATGTCCATCCTGGGCCTCCTGCAGTGCCACAACGATGCCACCCGAAGGTTGCAGGAACAGCAACTCATATTCCGCTTGGGAACCCTGCAGCCCAATGGTATCAATGTGGATTTCACAAGTTTCAAAATCTCCCCTCCCCCTACCGCATCCCAAAACCAGTCCAGCTCGTCCCTGCCTCCCTAACCTGTTCTTCCTCCCACCTATCCCCTCCTCCCACCTCAAGCCGCACCTCCATCTCCTACCGACCAACCTCATCCCGCCCCCTTGACCTGTCCGTCCTCCCTGGACTGACCTATCCCCTTCCTAACTCCCTACCTACACTCACCTTTCCTGGCTCCATCCCCGCCTCTTCGACCTGTTTGTTTCCTCTCCACCTATCCTCTCCTCTATCCCTCTTCTATCCGCCTCCCACTCTCTCCCTATTTATTTCAAAACCCCCTTCCCCTCCCCCTTTTCTGATGAAGGGTCTAGGCCCGAAACGTCAGCCTCTCTGCTCCTATGATGCTGCTTGGCCTGCTGTGTTCATCCAGCCCTGCACCTTGTCGTCAGGAATAAATGGGCCTTTTTCAGGCTGGCAGGGTGTCATGAATTTAGCCCATAGGGGTCAGTGTTGGGGCCTCAACTCTTTACAATTGATATAAATGATTTAAATAAAAGGTATGGTGGCTAAATATGCTGATGACACAAAAATGGTTAGGAAAGTGAAGATGGCATAAGGAATATAGATATGTTACATGAGTAGGCAAAGATCTGGCAAGTGGAGTAAAATGTGGGAAAATGTGAAATTGTTCATTTTGCCAGAAAGAATAAAAAAGCATATTAACTAAATAGTTGGTTGCAGAGCTCAGAGATGCAGAGAGATCTGGGTGTACTAGTGCATGAATTGTAGAGGGTAGTATGCAGATAGGGCAAGAAAATCGAGAAAGCTAACAGAATGTTTTGTTTTATTGTGACAGGACTTATTACAAGAGTAGCAAGATTATCTGTCAGTTACACAGGGCATTGGTGAGATCCCATGTCTGCAGTACTGGTCACTATATATACATAAGATCTAATGTGTTGAAAGCAGCTCAGGAGGTTTAGTAGACTAATATCCGGAACGAACAGATTGTTTTATCAGAAAAGGCTACACCAGCTAGGCCTGAATCCTCTGGAGTTTGAAAGAGTCAGACTTGGCTGAATTGAAATGTAAAAGATTCTGAGGGGACTTCAGACTTGCCTGAAATAACACAAGGAATTCAATCTATAGTTTTCTTTTTTCTATTGACTTGAGAACATATAAACTCAAGCCCAAGAGCACCCCAGTACAGGTAAACTCCATCCAAAGTGCCGAAAAACAGTGATATCAGACTCAAAACATTAACTTTGTTTCATGCCAGATCTGCTGGGTTTCTCCAGTACTTTGTTTTTATTTCAGATCTTCAGTATCCACAGTATTTTGCTTTTATCTCCCCTATTCTCTTTTCCTAGTACTGCTAAATACCAAAAGATTAAAAACATGGTCATGTAATTACTCTATTTATATCCAGAAATGATGCTTTTACTTGTCTACAATAAAATTTCATTACAAATATTTTGTTGGAAGATAGGGTGTAACTCTTATAAAAGAATGTGGGTTTTTTCAGTACGTTATTTTGGTTGGTTCCACCAGGTAATGGTTTTATCTGGTAGAATTCAGGCACACACTAACACATAGTTGCAGCACAGAACCTAATTCAGACAATATCACACGCTATCACACTGAGCCAATCCAAAACCGAAATTATGAAGAAACTGAAAATCAAGAAAAATGCTGGAAATAGCAGGCCTCATAGCATTTGGGGAGAGAAATCCAGTTTGAATGAATGATGATTTATTTATTGTCACTAATATCTTGAACATACAAGGACAAAAGTGTTTTGTCGCCGCAATCCAGTGCCATTTTGAGGTACAATAAGGATGAAAAGAAATTACTGGAAAAACAGTTCATCTTCTGTTCAATTAGGTCTCAAGCACAGCTTCTGCAAAGAGTTCCGGTCCTCAAGGAATCCTGCTCCGGGAACTGTGATGACGCCAGTTACCCAGGAGACCCCGGCTCTGCTGCTGCCGCTGCCTCACCAACACCACCAGCAGTCCCTGCTCCAGGCACCACCACCACCAAGAATCCAGGCTCCGGGACTTCCGCCGTTGGGAGTCCAGGCTCCGGGCACATTAATGCCACCACATTAAGGCCACCGACGCTCCAATGAGCCCAAACACTACTTACAGTGACAGCGCCATCCAGGATTTCACTTCAGATTGTTAACCTTTCATCCAAATGATTCTGATCTAAGGTCAGCAGCCAGAAATGCTTGTATTTCTCTCTTCATAAATGCTGCCAGATTTGCTGAGTGTTTCCAGAACTTTTAGGGGTTTTATATATCACCAAGAACAAGTTTAACAATTCAATTTTTCTACCCTTTCCTGTCCACTTAATACTCTAAATATTAATTCATTTCTCTTTTTTACAGGTGTGGGATCTGTTTAAATTATTAATTCCAACAGTGTTGGAAGAATGCCTCACTTTAAGAACCTTGGTAAATGTATTCCCCAAGAAACCGATGAGTCACTAACTCTTCATGAACAAACCATCTGGAGTTCACTTCTCTGATCAAGCCTTAATGGTGAAATCAACCAGTTAAAGTGATTTAGAGCACTAGTTTTATCTTATGTATCTTCAATTAGAATATTAACAAGCAACTGAGTGAATTAATTAATCTTTAAAGATGAAATAAATGAAGTGTGAAATGCAGTAACCATTTATTGATTACAAATATAAACCTTTAACCTTGAGTGACCACACAAGTCAATAGATGTAAACAGTTGAAGTCAGGTTTGCTTAGTGGTTTGAACAACAATTAACAGACTGTCAGTTAAAATGAAGAGCACAAATTGTAAATACAGCTCAGTGTCATCTTAAATAAGGACTCAGTCTGTGCTTGGTTATTACTTTTTACTCATTCACAGGATGCAGACATTGTTGGCTGAGCCAGCTTTCGTTGCTCATTCTTAGTTGCCTTTGAGAAGGTGATAGTCAGTTGAACTGATGTGTTCCATTTGCTGTAGGTAGACTCACAATACTGTCAGCGAGGTTCCTGGACTTTGACCCAATGACACTGAATGAACGGTGATATATTTCCAAGTCAACATTATGATGGCTTGGACATGAACTTGCAGGTGGTGGTCTTCCCAAGTATCTGCTGCCCTTGTCTTTCTGTGGGGTAGTGGTTTTGAGTTAAGAGCTTAGTGAGAGTAAATCTTTGGAAAGTTCAGAATTTAAGAGCATTAAGTAGCTAATGTTTGAGTAGATTTATGGTGTAACTTAATGATTCCTTTGGGCAACAGGATTGTCTGTTCCAGTTGGACGCAATGCTGCTGATATCAAGAGGCTCAATTCTCACCAGCCGTGTTCTCTATTATTTTGCCAGCCACATGCCACTCATTGCTATCAGTCCCCAAAAAATGCAGACAGTTTAACTTCTTTAATCTCATGTACGTTCTCAACGTACTTGTATTTTATAAAAAGCTACCATTCCATATTTCTTCATTTAGAATACCCACCGCAGAGAACAAAAAGAGGTAAAAGGTAAAATTGCCACAGTCTTACTAGACCACAGTGCTTCTCTCTCATTAGTGAGAGATGATTGGTGGTAGTTTAACCCGAGGGTCACCATGCCTCAGGCGAGGGGCGAGGTTGAGAAGCAGAGTCCTTTGTACTAACCTCAGTCAGTGCAGGAATTAAACCCAAATTGTTGGGATTCTTGCATACTTGGCATCCGGCCAACTGAGCTAGCCGAACCTCTAACAAAAAAAGATCTGCATTTGACAGAGAAACTACAGCCTTGAGAGTTTAAGAAAGGAGGAATAATCTTCAAAATGACTAAGGGTTTCAACAAAATAGGCAAAGTCAATTTCCACTTGAGGTAAAATCCAAAATTAGAACTGTTAAATTGAAACTGTAATTTATAAATCAACTGAGGAATCATAGAAACATGTCCCCCATTTTGTGCACACGGAACTTACTACCACAGGGTGTGATTCAAGTAGGGATTCCCATGCTATGAGTTGCAATCTACAGTGCAGTCAAGCAATTGGGTTCACGTGCTCTCTCTCCTTGAAGCAGAAATAGCATCTGTGGTGTGTTCACTGTAACTAGTCAGCTCTGACATTAGCTCAAAAGTGAAATGACATGCATGCACACATCTGGTTTTTCTTGTTGAAGTTTGGTGGGCAAGGCCGCATTAAATGAGATTTAAGGTCAGGTCCACAAAGCGCAAAATGCTCAAGAGAGGAATAAAAACAAAGATTATCTTCTTTCTAATGAGATCCATTCCCCAAGACCCATTGCTCATATATACAAATGTAGTATAAACAGTACAATACAATTGTAGGCTGTCCATTAATTCCACATTATAAGTCATTTGTGGGATATGCAGTACCCCTATATCTGCAAAATAAAGTCTCACACTGTTCCCATTCAGGAAGCCAACTACACATAAGTCGACAGAACACTAGTCATGGATCACAAAATGTTATACTTTCTCTAATTTTTTTTTTTTTAAAAAGAGCTTTGGCCTAACTAAAATGTGTGCAGTTGCTACATAATACTTCAAAGTGGACTTCAAAGTAGACAGAGCTTTTAAAGTTTTATTTGCACAATCATGCTTTATACCAATTGGTTTAAAAGCTTAGCAAGATCACAGATATAGGAAAATAATATAATTTGTTGTGAATATAATTTGAAATTTTGTTGTGATGCATGATAAATTGGTGATAACATCCACTTGACACATAAATCAGGAGGAAGAGGGCATTCAGTCCCAATTTGCCATTCAATAAAATCATAGAAATGTGGAGTAATCAGATCAACTATCTGCCTTTGTTTATCAAGACTCCTTTGTTTATCAAGAATGTGTGTGTGTATATACATTTAACACTGCCTTAAAAATATTTCGACTATCCTTCCACCATCTTTTGATGTTGTCCCCAACAATCGAGAAGAGATACTACGAATATGAAACAAAGCTCATGGAAAATAGTCAGGAATGGAAAACAACATAAACTGAGAAATTAACCGGACCTTACTGTAGGTTTTAAAACAATACTCTGAGCAAATCTTATGATGATCCTAATAACAATTAGCCTGAATTAACTGGAAAAAGCAACTTCTGAGCAATACATAAATTGGGTAGCAACTCATGGCAAAGAAGAAATAACGAGAATTGGACATTGTTGGACAATTTGCATGACACTGCAGTTAGCTTCACAATAACCGCATCTTATTCTTAAAATGCACGTTTCACAAAATTGTTGTATTTGTCCATTACCTACAGAAAATTAAATCTCAGTAAATAACAACATAATTACCCTTTTAATGACTTATTAATTGTTAATAATGGTCATTCAACTTCCCAGGACCAGAAGATACAGAAGTAAACAAGTGTAGAGTCTCATGCCTTCAGGTAATTACTTATCATTTAAATACTTTTAAAACATTTTAAAATATCCTTCTTACTATTTCCTTCTCTTCTTCTCACTCAAATTCTTTATTTTTCATTTCCTTCTCTGCATCTAAGTGGATATCGAAATTCAGCCTTCTTAGTTTTTCCTGATCTTTAAAATCTTGATGAAGGAGACAGTTGGTCTGTCATCCTAGATGCATCATGAGTCAGTTTACACTCCCAGCAATTTACTGGGTAAAGCATTTTGAAACTGAAGATTGCAGGAAGAAGTCTGAATAGCCAGACATGCCTCATTTTGTGAAATGTTAAACACATTGCTTCTCTTTAATAATATTTTCCCACTAAAATTATGCTATGCTGTGAACATGTTTGTGACAGCTCTCATTACTATTAAGGTATGTCATGTTAAATACTGAAAGGCTTTTCCACGGGAAGTTCTACAAGAACTATAAGTAGCAGAATGGAGAGGTTATCCAGTCAGTATTATTAATGGGAGAATTACTTTTCACTATCCAATGTAGTCATTTTAGATTGCATAAAAATAATGACTGTGTACCTTTAGCTCCAAATAGATACAGAACAAAATAGCCTTTGATATGTTACCTTAAATTTTTACTGCAATTAAGTAAATCATTTAAACTTGGAAAAAAAGCATAATTAAAAGCATTTATTTTATTATGCCAAGCATAGCAGTACCCAAACATAGATAAAAGAACTAAATCATCAAAGTAGTGTTTGACGGAGGGTGGTAACAAATAGCCCTAGCAATAGTGACTTCGGGAACAAGCATCATGGTGGGCATTGTACCTAACCTAATCCAATCATCTCAGTCTCAGAACATTCCTACAAAAGTTTCTCAAGGCATCAGTCACCTTAATGTCTCTACCTTATCCATTCTAACTTGTCTCAATCTGATGTTGCTGCACTCCGTTCTCTCAGGTCTAACCCTGACTTAGTTATCAAATTTGGAGTCATACTGGAATTGAAATGTCAACTCTGTTTCAATCTTCATAGAACTTCCTGTTTTTACTTAAGTGCCAGTCAGCGAACATTTCCAAAAAGAGAAAATCTAACCATCTCTTGAAATTCATTGGAACTAGAATCATTGAATCTACCCAATTATCATCGTGGGGGCTTATCATTGACCAGGAACTGAACTGGACTAGCCATATAAAAATGTAACGATTTCTATCTGATCTACAAATGTGCTATGATACCTCTCATTTTCACCTGATCTATCATGACCCTTCCATTCCCTTTCCTTTCTTGATTTCACTGTTTCAATTTCTTAGGATGGACTGTCCACCAATATCCATTATAAGTCTACCAACTTCCCATGTTACCTCAAATACATTTACTCTCACTCTACTTCCTGCAAGGATTCTAATCCATTCTCTCAGTTTCTCCACCTTTGTTGCATATATTCTAATATTGTTATCTTTCACCAGACAGCCTCGGAAATGACCTCCTTTCTTCCTTCAACTAAAGATATCCCCCACTGTAGCTGACAGGACTTAGCCATATCTGACCCATTTCCTGCACTTCTGCTCTTACTCTTTCCCTACTTCCCAGAATGACATTAGGATTCCCCTTGTCCTCTCTTTCCACTTCAGTACTCTCTGCATTGAAAGAATCATCCTCTGCTGTGTCAGCTTCCTCCATCAGGATAACACCCACCAAACATATCCTCCCCTCCCCCTTCCTGTCAGCATTCAGCAGGATCTATTCCTTCCATCATATCTTGGTTC